GATAACAAGTCAGCATTATCATTGGCTAAAAATTCCACTTTTTATGATTGAAGTAAGCATATTGATATGAATTATCATTTTGTAAGAGATTGTATTGAAAAATAATATGTGGAGTTAAAATTTTTAAAGCCTGAAATCATATTTAGCCACGAATTCTTGCTACATGATTTAGACGCAGTCAGGCTGATCATTCTGTATATGTGAAGCATAATTAATCTAGTATTGTAATACTTATTGTATATGTTGATGATATTTTGTTATCAGGTAGTGATGTGACTGGCATTGAAGAAAACAAAAAATACTTGTGCAACAATTTGCTACAAAAGATTTCGACCAATTGAGGTATTTTCTTGGTATTGAAGTTGATTGTGGCAAAAAATGTGTAGCGTTATCTCAAAAAAAGTATGCCACAGATCTCTTAGAACAAACAGTTTTATTTGGGACAAAACCAATAGATGTCCCTATAGAAACTAACCTAGACATGTGGAAGGAGGATGAAGACCTTGAGGACAGTACACAGTATAGAAGGCTTGTTGGGAAGCTTATTTATTTGACAGCAACAAGACCAAATATTTTGCATGCAGTGGGGCTGGTTAGTCAATTTATGGAAAAACCTAAGAAATATCATTGGGAAGCCGCTTGCTATATTTTGAGATATGTTAAAAAATCTCATGGAAAAGGATTCTGGTTTAAAAAGAATAAACATATTGCACTTTTATTGGAGGTAATCTGGTGACTTGGAAGAGCAAGAAGCAAATGGTTGTGTCTAGGTTTAGTGTTGAAGTCAAATACCATGCCATGGCTCATACAATGTGTGAGCTAATTTTGTTGAAAGCACTTCTAGAAGATTTCAGTATTACATACGAGAAACCTATTCCTATGTATTGTGATAATCAAGCCGTGATTCATATTGAAAGGAATCCCGTCTTCCATGAGAGGGCAAAACATATTGAAGTTGATTATCACTTCGTGAGAAATGCGGTCACCGGTAAAATGATTTGTACTTCATTTACATCCTCAAATGATCAAATTGCTGATATGTTCACTGATGCACTTGAAGAATGACTTTGTAAGACAAAGAGACAAGCTTTACATGATAGACATCTATGCTTCAATTTGAAGGGGAGTGTGAATAGTGTAATTTATGAAATTACCTAAATTAGCTACCACCCTTACTTTACCGCTTTAAAAAAGTTGGAAGTATCGCTTCATAGCCTAATTCTACTTTATAGCATGGTGGTAGTTTCCTTCTTTCCTCGTATTTTTACCTCATAACTGTTGACTCATTGTATCTCAACCTTTAGTTTCATTACTTTTGTCTTCGTCTTCTGAATCTTTCCTAAATCCCATACTTCACTTTAGCCTTACAATTTCTACTTTAGTTTGATTGAAATTTTATTTTGACCTTACATTTGTCATACTATCTTTGTCGATTTATTGAAATTCATGAAAATTGATTGGAATTCTGTAGATTTCTTTTGAATCTCGTTTTGATATATATATATTTTGCTCCACCTGTTTAAATTGTTGGAAGATTGGACTTTCCTTGTTCCTAAGTTCCTTTTCCTATTACGACCAAAGTAGAATACTATTCATAGGACGGACTATGATAGGTAGTTATAGCTTTTCCATTTTGGTTATTTTGAAATGTTTAAACAGAGTCCTTCACTTTGTAATCAGAAAAGAGAATAGTTATACAAATTATTTATTCCTCTTCATATTTTTGTCTCAATTGCTTCTACTCATACTATCTCATCTCATTTCATAAAATTCCTGAAAATTGATTTGAATTCTATAGTTTTCTCTCGAATCTTAGTTTTGAATTTTTATATATTTATTTTTTTCTTATGTTTTAGCTTTGTAGGTTGATATACTTGCCTATCGCGAAACTAAAAGTTATGTCTGTTAAATTGTTGGGAAATTTGACTTTCCTTGTTCACCAGTTCTCTTTCTTAGTACAACTAGCATAGAATATTATTCATGGGACAGATTATGACAGTTAGTTATAAGTTTATAACTGTCCTATTTTGGTTATTTTGAAATGTATAAATAGGGTCCTTCATTTTCTAATTTTGGGAAAAAGAGGATTTATACAAATTATCTATTCCTCTTCATATTTATTTCCCATTTTCTTCAACAATGTAATTTTCAACATAAACAATTGATCAAGAGTTTGTTGTCCAGGCTCAACTTTACCAATTGATAGAACATTTCTTATACCAATCCTTCGCAAAACTGCAGAAACAGAGTTGGCTGTTGCTGATGCCATCAATATTGAAAAGGAAATTGCCGATAAGTCAAATAGCAAGCTAGTATATATGAAGCTGTGCTCGAAGTTGTTGCTGTGTAGATCAAACAGTGCCATTCCAGTAGAACTATAGAATCAATCCTTCTCGAATTTTGGAACTTACTTCTGAAAGTTCATCGGATATCATCGGGACAATCAAACCGAGAAGGTTCCTGAACCAGACAATGCAAGTTGTGTGGATAATTTGGAAATATCAAATGTTCCCCACGATCATTCTTTATCAAAAGAATCACCTCACCATTCACGAACAAGAGAAAATGCTGCAAATAAGGAGAATATATCTAAGATGTCAAGAAGCAATCAGAAATCAATAGGGTGTCAAAGAAGGTAAAAATTATGGGCATTTTTGGTAGTGCTTTTCAGAATTGAATTTTTTAACCATTAGAGATCAAAGTGGGTTCCATCTGTGAGTGAAAAAGTCAAAAATGACGCTGACCATGTTAAATAAGGGTTAAAAATTGATTTTTTGGGGTGAAAAATCAGAACCAAACATGGGCTATGCATTTTCATGTGATTATCCTATCTTCCAAGTTTGGATACATTACCTTTTTCTTACTTTCAAGTAAAAAAGGCAATTATCTGATAGTAATTCATACCACAACATTGGTAATAAGTATCTTAGATTCAACTTTGACCAATTAAAAGAATTATTTATTTTGAAACTTATAAGTAAACTTCTTAACCTTAGCCACCATGCTCTGGTTCATGACTTGTTTTTTCCATATTAAGTAAAAAGAGTTAATTTGTTTTAAGTAACTCTTACATTAGTGTCAAAATAATTAACATACTCATTTCCAACTTTGACCAGTATAAAATTTATTTATTTTAGAACCTATTACTTGTAAGTTTTCTAATGAGTAAACTTTTTAAATTTTCCCAAATATGCTCTTAAATCCATAACAACATGCAGTGAATTCTTTTTGAAGTCATACTCCCTAAATATACTCATTTACTTGTTCAAACCTTCGATTTTCTGATGGGTTGATTATATTCTTCCATGTAGGTCGAATCCTATACAAAAGAACACATCAGACCAATGTGCAAGAAAGGTGTGATCATAATCGAAGAATACAGGGGGCAGTTGGAAAAACGACTGAAAAAGTTATGAAATATCACTCGAAAGATAAGAATGCAAATTTCATCATCAAGGAAGGGGAGAAAGTGAAGAAACTTGCTGAACAGTATGGTGAAGCAGCCTAGCAGAAGGCGAAAAATTGATTGGCGCCATAATTAGTATATTTTTCTGGCCTCATCTTTTTTACTCTTTCTTACCAGATTTTGTATATATGCAAGTTTCTTCACTTAAAAGCAATTGTAAATCGAATTGTTGAAATGAAATCAAGAAACTTACAGATGCATTAGTGATATTACATGAATAGACTTCAGTTTTGATTGTATATTGCTTAGTGAAATGCCATTTTAATATTTTCTAATGTGGTTTGTGCATATTCTCGTGCACAGGAGGGAAAGTTTGGTAAACAATGCTGGACATGGACAGAAACAGACTATATGATGGGCATTATTTAACTTCGTTTCTTCTGGAAAATTTTCGACCGAGGTCCCCAAACGTTACTGCCTGGAGCACTTGGGTCCCAATTTAATTTTTTGGACCTTTAGCTTCCCAATGTACAAAATTAATGCAAGGCAGTCCCATTGGAAGGAAACCATTCAAAATATCAAATGGTCACTTCTCTTGCATGTGACCTCTTACGCCATGGGTAAAAAATTAAAAAGAATAGAATGCTGAAGCGCGTTTTTCCTGCTCAATCTCTGTGCCAGAAACAATCTCCTCTTCTTGTTCACTTGGTGGTTCATTTTCTCCAATTCTTCTAGTTTCAATTTCGTTTCTTCTCCGTAAAGTTCAAAATGATTTTTGATCTTCCATTTTAGTTCAAATGGGGCTGCCCAAATTTGAGTTTCTATCAATTTTTAATCGTGGAAGAGCTGAATAGAATCCCAATAGTAATGAAGCTTCCCATTTCAAGTAGGAGTTGACTTAATCGGATATACCTATTAGAATATTCGGTTCTTTGTATATTAATTAGTTAACAATTAGTTTGTCCAGCTAGGAGTCAGTTGTAACAGATGATCACATTTTTCTTCTTTTTGCTGCCTATTTATTGTGTATATATAGACCTCTTGTATCTTGAAGAAATGCAGTGAATAAGATCCACATTTTCTCATTTGTTTCTAATATGGTATCAGAGCAAATACCTTCCATTCTTCATCTCCTGCTTTAAGCTTCTCATACTGCCTTCAACTTAATTCTAATGGAGCCAACACAATCCAAAGCTAGTTCTAAAATTCGATCATCTATTAGCAAAACCACCATTGATGATCCGTCTAGCCCATACTTCCTTCACTACTTAGACAGCCCTGGGTTAGTGCTCGTGTCACAGCAACTTACAGGAGAAAACTGTGGCTCTTGGAGTCGCGCCATGACCTGAAGGAACCAGAATCCACAGATCCGGATCTAAATAATGCTTGGATTCGGAACGATAACATAGTCATATCCTGGATTCTCAATTCTGTCTCAAAGGAGATTTCAACAAGTGTAATTTATGTAACCACAGCGTGCGAAATCTGGAACGACCTCAATGAGAGGTTTTAGCAAAGCAGTGGACCGAGAATTTTCCAATTGAGGAAGGATCTGATGAATTTGAACCAAGATCAAAACAATGTGGGTATTTAAATGTTGTGGGAGGAGTTAACCAATTTTCGACCCAATTGCAACTGTGGAAAATGCACTTGTGGAGGAGTTAAGGAAATGAACAAATACTTTCAAATGGAGTATATCATGAGCTTTCTTATGGGTCTACACGAATCATTCTCACAGGCTAGGGGACAAATACTGTTGATGGATCCCTTACCTCCCATCAACAAAGTATTTGCGTTGATCACTCAGGAAGAAAATCAAAGGAGATTAAACACACGACCATTTGGAAGTGATGCGAATGGTGCTGCAGCTTTTGCCCTAAAATCTGACATTGCAAAGTCGACGACAAATACTAGATTTCCTAATGACAGTCCCAGATCTGCCAATCTGATAAATATTAGGAAGAATGAGAGGCCCTACTGTACACATTGCAAACTCCATGGACATTCGATTTACAAATGCTATAAGATCCATGGATACCCACCTGGTTACAGAACAAAGTCAATGGAGAATTTCAGAATCAGCCTATTACTAATTCAGTCAATCAGTTGACAAGTCAGTTGGATTAGCCACCAAGCATGGATAATTTTGTCAAGAACCTGAACTCAAACCAATGCCAACAATTAATGACAATGCTATCCAACCATTTGGCTTCAAGCTTGAACAACATTTCAGTCTATTTCACTGCATTCATTTTTTGCCACTAAAGAAGTTTGGATAGTGGATTCAGGGGCCACTAAACACGTGTGCTGGAATGCTGATGCATTCATGGCAATGAGAACTATTAAGAATGCCAGCATCACTCTGCCAAACCATGTACAAATATCAATCAATCTTTGTGGAAATGTCAAACGGAGTTCTACCTTAGTGCTGCATGATGTGTTTTTTGTACCACAATTCAAATTCAACCTAATATCAGTTAACGCTTTAACTTGCTAGATCACAACTCACCTTAAGTTTCTTTCATGACCAGTTCATAATCCAGGAAGCTGCAACTAAGAAGATGATTGGTAGGGGTGACAAAGTACAAGATCTATATGTACTTGACATAAGATTTTTCAATTCAGTTTCTAATGTATTTGTTGGAAAAGTTGTAGCTCACATATGGCACAATAGACTTGGCTATTTATCCATTAAGAGATTAGAAGCCTTGAAGGAACATGTCACTTGTGATATTTTGAAAATAAATAAACATCTTCCATGTTACATTTGTCCTATTGCAAAGCAAAGAAGATTGTCGTTTGAATCCAATAACAATTTATCCAGGAAACCCTTTGATCTCCTACATTGTGACATATGGGGGCCTTATCATGTCCCGTCTCACTTAGGATACCGGTATTTTTTTACACTTGTAGATGACTATTCCAGATTCACCAGGGTATACATGTTAAGACAGAAATATGATGCTGTGAAGGTTGTCCATCGATTCTTTTGCATGATAGCCACACAATATAATGCTAACATCAAATGTTTCAGATCAGATAACGCACATGAATTGTCCTTCCATGAATTCTTTGCTGAAAAGGGGGTGCTACACCAATTTAGTTGTGTGGAAAGGCCACAACAAAACTCCGTGGTTGAATGGAAACATCAACATCTTTTAAACGTAGCTCGTGCTTTATTTTTCTAGTCAAGAATCCCTATAAAATTATGGTCCGAATGTGTAATGATGGCAGCATTCCTAATCAACAGAACTCCAGCCCCAATTTTGCAACATAAAACCCCTATGAAGTATTACACGGTCAGCCTGCAAATTATTCCATGATTCGGGTGTTTGGATGCTTAGGTTTTGCATCAACACTTGCTGCACGCAGGACCAAATTTCAACCAAGGGCGAGACTTTGCATATTCTTGGGATATCCATCAGGGATGAAGGGATATAAGCTACTTCATGTGTCTACCAAACAAATTTTTATCTCCAGGGATGTTATGTTCCATGAAGAAATCTTCCCTTTTGATACCATAGTGGAAGCTGATGAAATAACAGACCCCTTTCCTGGTGCTGCCGAATGCCTCATCATTTGTTCCTGTTGAATCACCTGCCCATTCAAAACATGTTTCACTTGATTCTACCACTCTCTCATCATCTTCCACAACTCCAACAAACCACTTCACCTTGAACAATCACTCCCTCTCGTGCATGATAGTCCTACCATTCGAAAATCTCACAGAATCTCTAAACCACCAAAATATCTTGTTGACTATCACTGTAATTTAATTTCGCAAACTGATCACCCCATTCACAACACTCCGTATCACATTAGAAAGTTTGTCTCATATAATCACTTATCCAAACCCCATAAACATTTTTTTTCAACATCTCATCCCACTTCGAACCTCAATTTTTCCATCAAGTTGTCAAAATCTCTCAATGGTGTGATGTCATGAGATCAGAACTGAAAGCCATGGAGCTTAACCACACATGAACTGTTGTACCTTTACCTCGAGGGGAACGCTCTATTGGATGTAAGTGGATTTACAAAAACAAATTCAATTCAGATGGATCCCTCGAGAGGTACAAAGCTCACCTTGTTGCGAAGGGGTATACGCAGCAAGAAGGATTGGACTACCTCGACTCATTTTCTCCTATAGCAAAGAGTGTTACTATCAAGGTTGCAGCATATAGGGATGTCAACGAGCCGAGCCGAGTCGACTCGCGAGCCGAAACTTGAGGCTCGAGCTCGGCTCGATTAAAATTGTTGAGCTTTTTTTCGGACCCGAGCCTGGTCGAGCAAAAGCTCGCCCAAAAATTTTAGGCCGGCCCGACTTTTTTCTCTCTTTTTTTTTTATTATTAATATAAATATATATATAATTTAAGCTGCTGCCTTGGCTACCTTTAAAAGGCAGCAGTTTGCTAATTGTTGCCTTAAAAGGTAGCATTTTACTGTCATAATTTTTATTTTAAATAAAGGCTTGCAGGATGACCGGCCGACTCAGGCAAAGCCCGTATTCCAAAAATAGGGCTCGGCCCGAGCCTCGAGTTTAGCCGGCTCGAGCTTTTTGCAGTCCGAGCGACGGGCGGCCCGAGCCGACGAGCCCAATTGACATCCCTAGTAGCATACCATCAATGGCATTTGGTCCAATTAGATGTTAACAATGCATTTCTCAATGGTGACTTGTTTGAGGAAGTCTATATGGAACTTCCTTCTGGCTATGAAACCCATAAATCACTTGGACAGGGGAGAAGATGGTTTGCAAACTACACAAGTCTATCTATGGGCTTAAGCAAGCCTCTAGACAATGGAATTCGAAGTTCACACATGCTCTCATCCAATATGGTTTCACTCAGTCGAAGGCAGACTATTCACTTTTCACTAAAGGATCTGACTGCAACTTTGTGGCTCTATTGGTATACGTAGATGACATTGTCATCACAGGCCCTAACATCCAAGTCATCAACTCATTAAAATTGTTCCTACACTCTCAGCTTAAACTCAAAGATCTTAGATGCTTGAAGTGTTTCTTGGGGGTAGAGATTGCGTGGTCTTCATCAGGTATTGTGATTTCACAGCGGCAATATACATTGCAACTACTTGAAGATGCTGGTTATCTAGATTGTAAACCTACAAACAGCCCTATGGAACTCAAGGCAGCACTTAGTATCCATGAAGGTGAACTATTGTCAGATGCATCTCACTATAGGAAATTGATTGGAAGACTTATATACCTAACTCTTTCACGTATTGACATTACTTTTGCGGTGCATAAGCTGAGTCAATTCATGTCTCAACCAAGAATACCACATCTTAAAGCTGTTTATCATCTCCTACGGTACTCAAAAGGGAGTCCTAGACAAGGTCTTTTCTTTCCATTTCAAAAAGTCTCTACAGCGCCTCTCAGCCTTCGTGCATTTTCGGATGTAGACTGGGGTTCATGCATTGACACATGAAAATCCACCACTAGTTTTTGTATTTTCATTGGTGACTCACTAGTGAAGTGATTTGGATCAACCAGCTGTTGAAGGACTTCCAAATTAATGGAACAATCGTTGCCAATTTGTATTGTGATAATCAGGCCGCTATACAAATCGCAACAATTCCAGTTTTCCATGAACGGACAAAGCACATCGAAATTGATTACCACTTTATCCGTAATAAAATTACAATTGGGATTATAAAGCTCCTACCCATTCGTTCTCATCATCAACTTGCAGATGTTTTTACCAAACTGTTGCCTGCTTCAACTCTTAATCCCCTATTATCCTAGATGTGTGTAAAGGACATTTATGGCACATCTTGAAGGGGAGTATTAGAATATTCGGTTCTTTGTATATTAATTAGTTAACAATTAGTTTGTCCAGCTAGGAGTCAGTTGTAACAAATGATCACATTTTTCTTCTTTTTGCACCCTATTTATTGTGTATATATAGACCTCTTGTATCTTGAAGAAATGCAGTGAATAAGATCCACATTTCCTCGTTTATTTCTAATACCCGACACTGAAATTTTATCCCCATGCAGAGCATTGGATGCTGAGGAAACACTTCAGTGCATGGGATAAAATGAGAGAAGGAGAACCAAGACATCCCAAATTTCACGTGGGCCCAAACAGACACAAAGTGTAGAACTATGGGGCTCCCAAGCACCACCAGCGTAATAGGAAACTCAGATGGCAGGCTGCAGTTCTTAATTACCTGATTCCGCCCTGATATGTACCAGCCACTGCAAAGGCAACTCAGGAATTTCTGTGTACAATCCAACTATGACGTTGGATGTGAGGATTTCTACAAAAGCTGAACTGGTTGTCCAATCCAAGTCTCCTATTTCCTCTTCTTTCCCCTTCCACCAAATATGCAAGATGTTTTTAGTAATCTCCATTTTTTTTGCTTTGGCTCTGTTTAACTATAAGTTAAATTGTGCTTCTCACTAAATTGTTAAAAGTGAATTGAAGAAATGACAATAATACATGTGTGCAAAACTTATTACTAATTTGCATACATGCAAAACTTGATCGAAAATTTTATATAAGTTTTGTGATGCGAGACTAGAAGCTTACAGGAGAGTCACTTTAACCACTGCTAACTGGGTGTTTTATTTTTAAATGGGTTGCTACTTTGACTTTTTTTTCCTACCAAGCTAATTTTTCTACTTTTCATTATGTGTTGTAGGAATGGATTCATAGAACAATATTGATAAAGTAAATTAAAATTTTGTTGGAAGATAATTGAAAATAAATATTTGTGCATGTTCGTGCATGGTTGTAGGGATGGATTCACAGCACAAATTTTGAAAAAGAAAATTAAAACTTTGATTGATTGGAAATAAATACTTGTTATTGCTCCTTCTTTGTAATTCTTATTATATTTTCTTACCTATAAATGTTTTGTGTTTTTGAATTGTAAAATCACAGAACAATATTGAAAAAGAAAATTTAAATTTTCTTCCTTACTAATAAAAAAATAATGGACCTTAACTTTTCCACTTTTTATTACTTGTTGTAGGGATGGATTCAGAAAGTGTTGACAATGTGTTTATTTCACAAGTTTTTCTTAGTCAAATACCCAAAGTAGGACAAGAATTTGAGTCGCATGAGGATGCGTATAGTTTCTATAATCCAAATGCATGGGAAGCAGGATTTAATAAAAGAATTGCAAATAGTAAGAAAAACAAGCGAGACTTACTGGAAATTATTTGTGTACTCAAAGGAAGGAAAAATAGATGATACTTACCAGAGAAAACAAAAAAATCTTGTGCCACGGGTTGGGAAAAGAAAATGTGGAAGTATACGAGTCGGATGCAATGCTGGATTATCTGTAGTCTAACACCAAATTGGACAGGAATAGGTTGTGAACAGATTTGTAGAGGAGCATAATCATGGTCTTACTACTCCTAGTATAGTACATTTGTTGAGATCACCACAGATAGTGTCGACCACAATGAAAGCACTTTAACGGTTTTCGAAGGCCAACATACCAATATGCAAATAGATGCGACTTACGAAGATAGATTCCAGTGGTCCTTCATAGGTTGGGTGTGTAGAAAGAGATATCAAGAACTACAAAAAAATATACGAATTGTGGTGTGGGTCCAATATGTTCTTCAATATTAGGCTTATAACCTATGAAGTTAAACGGGCCTCGATTTTCATCATTGTCTAGGGGATTTGGGTATCACTTACCAAAAAATACCCAACAATCTCCACCTTGATACCAAATCATCCTGCAAGTCAGATAAGATAACAAATAACTTAAAGAAAAAAGAACTTACAAGTTTGGACCAATGTTTAGAAGATCAAGGCAGCTTCTAAATTTTACTAATGGGAGCACTTTAGTTCCCATGTCTGCAGGATTATATTCTGAAAGGATTTTCTCAAGTTTTACCAGTTCTTGAGAAACCATATCTCTAATGAAATGCAATCTAACATCTATATGTTTAGTACGTTCATGAAAGACAGGATTTTTGCATAGGTGAATAGCAGATTGACTATTAGAATATATTGTCACATTGTTATCAAAAACACCAAGTTCATTTAATACACCTTTAAACCACAAAGATTCTTTAAAGGCTTCAGTAGCAGCAATATATTCTGATTCAGTAGTGGATAAAGCAACATGTTGAAGTTGAGATTTCCAACTAACACAAGAATTACACAAAGTAAACACATAGGAAGATGTAGATTTCCTATTATCT